ACTTGCTCTTCCCCTGGAAGCTGATGGCATCTCTGCAGAGAACTGGATAACTCTTAAGTCTGAATGATGAGACTTTGCCGTAGTCTTCATCCTCTTCTTTGCACAGAAACCCATCCATTCCTTCTGAACGTCTTCACAGATCAGTCCTCTCAGTGTCATGAGGGCACTCACCAGGGGAGAAGGGTAGCAGTGCAAGTTGAAAGCTTTCAAGTTCTTAGTTCCTCAGGGATTTAAATATGCATTGTTAGAGCCAAATAAGAGGGCAGACAGCCTTTGCACAGCACTTCAAAGTGACTCTGCATTTCATCTGTGCCCTGCCTGTTGTGGACATGTTAAAGTAATCTGGGCTGTAACATAGGAATTATTGTTCAGGGTAATCTCACAACACATTAATCAAGTAGTGGGTTCCTTTGGGAGGGTAGGGCTTGTTTCACCATTTTACTTGGAATATATGAATTTAAATACAGATTTACAGTGCAGCCAGTGCAGTCAAACTGTGTTGAAGCACAGACTGGAAGAATATAAAATGTACCCTGTGTATAGGCAGTGAAATCCTAGATGATGTCTATTCTTCTCATATCTCAAGTGAACACAGGTCCACTAAAGACTATAGACTGTTTTAATCTCCTGTAGTAGAGTGGAATCACTTAAATATATCTGAACGCTCCCATTATGCCCATTTCATAGAGGCAAGATTTAAGTGGTTGCCAGATGTTATACCCTCCTGAGTTTCCAAGCTTAGGGTTTTTTGCATTTGTATATTCTTCCCCCTTTCTGCAATCCATCATTTTGGAAAGTTATGCTGGTGGTTTGATTATTTTGAGCTTGCAAACCTCTGACGCTATGGTTGCAGTTCCCTGAGACACAAAGGTAAATCCAGCCCTAGAAACCCCAGGGGATCTCTCTGGATGGGCAGTGATGTGGGGAAGATGCTACAAAAATGTCTTTGAAAAGTCTTCACAGCTCTTTGTGCTGCTCTTCCATGAGGAAAATTTGGATGCCGTGATCTGCAAGGCTCTGTGGGTGAATAACTGAATCTGCTAGATTTACACAACTACTTTTCAGCCCTGCTTCTGTGTTAAAACAGACCTTTTACAGTGCCTTTTTATGTGGAAATCTTGTAGCTGGGTGTGGTGGGGAAGCCGCTTGGTGACTCATACTGCAGGGAATTCCCTGATGAATTAGAGTATTTTTACTTCTGGACTTGTGCGCAGTTTCCTTCAAGGCTGGAGTGAGTGGCCGATAAGAGCAGGCTACAAGCTACAAAGGCCCATTCACCATTCAGCTACTCCATGTTAAAACAGGGTGTTTATGCCTTGCAGAGCTGAAAATCCACCCCCATTACATGTGGGTTCACAGCATTTTCGTCATTAGCAATCCCAGGTGCTTTGAGTTTCATTCAAGGCAGAATCAGATGGTGGTGAAGCAGGAATGGCTATAAATAACAGGGATGGGTCTATAAATGTCAGGCTTCCTGACCAACCTGGTGTCTTAGTTGGCAGTAGTGCTGCTGGCCACCTGTCAGCACAGCCTCCAGCCTGTGCAGAACAGGTGAGAGCAGCTTCTCCTTCCCCCAGCACTGCCGCTGTCTCTTTGGAGGAGGAGGGATTTGAGGATCATTCATCCAGCCCATGCGTGGTTCCCCCTTGAAGCCTCAGCTCTGTTGGGTTAATGGCTGTTGCTGCTGGCAGTGAGGGAGCAGGGCACTCTACCAGGGACTCTGCAGGGCTTCTGCCCTGCCATTCAGTGCATGGATGTTTTGGGTTTATTTCCATTTGGTAAAAAAGCCTCTCACAAAATGTAAGACACCAGTATAATACCTTGACCCAACTTTTTAGCTGTATAAAGAACTGTCTTTCTCTTCAAAATATTGCACTATAAATCTTAAAAATGCCAAAACAAAGCCAGGCATTTGGTTTGGAGAAGACACTTCTTATTACTTTGTAAAAGTAAATAGTGAAATGAAAGGGACTGAAATAAGACCTTTGGAAAAGATGTTTTCTCTGTTTTCCTTCGTGCCTCCTCCTCTCCTTCCTCTCCTGACTCCATTGCCCCCCCTCCCTGTATAACAACTGCCCATTTGGGTACGGTAATTCCAGAGAGCAAACTTTAACGGGAATGCCTGAAATGTGTCTGCTTCAGCTTTGTGTTATGTCTGTAATTTGAATTATTTGCATTTTGGAAAGGTATAAATTGCTCTGGTGTACTTGGGTTGGCTGGCGGCCAGGAGGGAGTTGCCTCGGGCCCAGACCAGGCGCGCTGCTGCAGATGTGGCAGGCGTACAATGGAAACTTTTGTGGGCGAGAAGCCCTCACTCCTCCAGCACACACTGACAGGAGGCGGCATCCCGCCTGCTCGCCAGGCTCCCCGACGGATGGGCACTGGGGCAAAACCACTTTCTCCGGCATAGATGGACTATCTTGAGGCTTAGGGCTCACACAAACCATTCCAAAGCCGTTATTCCCTTTTTTTTTTTCTTTTTTTCTTTTTTTTAATTTCAGCTGAACTGTTTAAACCTGCAAAACATGTTTACTGTAAAAGGTTGACGTAGTGGTCTAAGGTTTCCCTCCTGGAGCTGGTCCCAGTCTGTGGGCGTTGAGATTTCCCTCTTGGTTCACCAGACGTAATATGAGGAATTGTCTTTCTTTTTCTTTTTCTTTTTTGGTCTCTTGCTTCATAACAACTTTTGCTCCCTGTGTTTTTTTTTTAATGAAATGTCACTAGCTGTTAATGAGTTGTCTATTCCCTACTTCTTCCTTCTCTTCCGTTTCCCCTCAGTTGCCAATGGTCTGGACAGTCCTGAGGGAATTTCTTGGAGCAAAACCTGTATTGTTCTTCCTAGCTTCCAAAGACAAGCCACAGCTCTGATTTTTTTATTTTTCTAATAGTTTAGATTACAGCATCTAAAATATTTGTACACAAACTCCTTTTGTCATCATAAAAATTTTAAAAATGCATAAAGGCAGTGCTGCATGAAATAATTGAAAGAATAGCTGGAGATGGAGTAATTTTGAATTTTCCTGAAGTATCGGCAGGAAATAAAAACCAGAAACCTGAATCAGATCGGTCCTCTTGCAAAGCACAAATTAAACATAGCAAAAATACTGAACTTCTGGTAATCCATTTACAAAGGCAAATTGAACACATGTTAACTACTAGTCTGGATGTCTGTAGGTTTTTAAAAAAAAGAGCCCAGCAAACCCCTTCCAAAGCAGAAGTTTCTACACTTCACAAAATGTGTGATAGTGTCACAGCGTTGTGTTGCCTTTATAGCTGATTGGATTAATTAGGGGCAAGGAGGGAGTGCTGCAGAGGCTGGAGATAAAGGAGGCTGCTCCCAGACAGGGGATGTGTCCTGGCTTGCTGAATTTTGGTCAGGGTTTTCTACTGACAGCCCAGGGGAAGCATCTGTTGGATAAATTGTGAAGTGATCGCCAGTCCTCCCAAGAAGCCTGCTTCAATTCTGGCACTCTCCAAAGGCATCGTTAAGGACTCTCAAGCACTGAGACTCTCAAGTCTGGCTGTGCCTGCTCTCCCTGCAGCTGAACGTGGCAGTAGCAATTAAAGGGATTCCTCTTCCAGCATCACAAGTTAAAATGTAGGAAGAAACTGAGGGTAGATCTGCTAATTGTTTTCCTATGGGAAGACCTGCCAAATTCACTGTGGTATTTGTGCTTCAGCCTTCATGTTGTACTTCTTTCCATACATTTAAGAGAAAGGGGGTTTGGATATTAAAACAATCGCCAGGGATAGTCCCTCAGCAGCATTCCTTTCACAGTAGGACAGCTGTACACAAAAATACTATTTACAGACATTTGTAATAAATCAGGCAGTTCTAATTGCGTCACCTCCATCCTGGCCATGAAAGCAAAGAGAAAAGAAAAAGTGCCATTCACTCTTTTACCTTTCAGAGGGCTGTTTTTCTAAGGCAAGCCCACATCCATGTGATGAAGTTCAAAATAACTAATATTTGCATTTGCATGTCCCAGTGCTGCAATAAATGTACAAAAGAGATGACATAAGTGTCCGTTTCCCCTTCATTTCGGTAACATCTGACAGTGGTGGGACTTGTGAAGCTGCATGTTTCTCCACTATACAGTTTATACAGCTTATCCAGTCTGTTTATGGCCTTTCATTTGTGTTTTTCTAGGTCGGCAGAATGGAAACCTTACGTTCTGTATTATTTTTCTCATTTCTTTCCTATTGAGGTCTGAAGATGCAAGGAAATTAAAGCCCACCTTGTTTTCCAGTGATTTCTGTATCAGTAACGTGCAGGAAAAATGACCAGACAAAGCCAGTTTCTTTCAAAAGACACGTTCCCAGAAAAAGCTATAGTTGTGGCTTAAATCTGTGTTTGCTTGAAAACAGAAATTCAGTGGATTTGGAGGACCCAACACACCACTAAAAACAGCTCCAGAAGTGGGACTACTGTAGCTGAACAAAACCAACTTCAAAATGGAGTCTAAAGCTGTGTTTCCAAGCCTGTGGCCTTGCGTTTTGACCCAAGTAGCAGAATTATGACAAGCCAGACTAGGAGTATATTAAAATCAAATCCTGCATGGCTGAGTATCTTCCTTAATGCTAGCTTTCTTTTTGTATTGTTTAGTATTAATATTGAATATGACTTAGAGCCTAGGTAGTGTTCAAAAGGCGTCATAAGTAGAAGTATTGTTGTCTGAAAGTTCAGCAAGTTGAGATGTAGAACAGTTGCATATTTTGTCCAGGCTAGTGGCAGAGCAAACTCCCAGTGGCTCCCCCCTATCATGATATCATGCACTCTGAACTGTCATTCTTCCCTTCAGAAAAGCTGAAGGGGCTCCTGTCACAGGTGACCCAGATGGTCTCTCAGTTGGGCAACACTTTGGGCAATGCGTTGTGAGAGCTCCTTTTCACATATGCAGTGCCCCTTCAAAGAGGTTGTTTTTGTGAAAGTTGTTCCTTTCTTGGCTTGGGAAAGGAAAAAAGGAAAGAACTAGATATCTTTTTCTTTTGTCTTTTAGATGGTCACCATGTGTGGGAAATGGAAGCCAAAACCGACAAAGAAATGTGCAAGCCAGTAAGTCTGCCTTAAATATTTTAACATCAAGATGAAAAATATATATTGCCTTCTCCAGCACTGTTACTTAAGAGGGATTTCCAAGGCTTTGGCACTGAAACAGAACAAGTACTTAGGCCTCCCCTCCTGGAAATCTTTCTTTAACGTGAGCATGGGGTAAAAAGCCTTTGCTGGAAGCTATCCCAAAAGTAGGAGAGACCATTTGGAAAATATTTTTTCATTGTCTGGGATGGGCCAGTTCCATCTGCTCATCTTTTGTCTTGCTGGGTCAGTTCTTTCCTCTGCTCCCAAAGCAATTTCTGATCATTTTCCTTGGCTTTCCTCTCTCTTCAGCAGGAGAAACATGAGTCCCCTCACAGGAGATCCACATAGGAGAAGTGTGGCTCTCTCAGCCATGACACCAAGTGGGAAGTACGTCCTCTATCCCACGTCTGCAGGAATATGCAATACTTGCAAAACTGCAGGCAAACAATTAAAACATCTCAGCTGAATTCAGGCCAAATGCTAAGAAGAGAATTCCCCATTACTCTTTCAAAAAGTGCCAAGGGAGGTTTTGATGGTCATAGCAGATTCACTGTGCATATGTCTGAGCTGATGCCCTAGAAGCTAAGTAATTCCTTAGCCCCATGCTGGAGTATTTGGTTTCTGGCCGTGGAAGATCATCTACATTCTCCAGCCCTTTTTCGTGTTGCACTAGATGTGCTTGCAACAGTGACTCTCCCATGCACAGAAGCTAGCATACTTAAAACTCCCTGAATTGTTATATAAAAATATATATTTTTACTGTGGAAAATGGAAATATTTGAGTAATGCTGTCCTAATGCCTTTCAAAGGAAATATTGTTAGGTTCAGATATATCAGGGATGACCTGCCAACTGAGGCGTTGTGCTTTCTCCTGCTGAGTTGGAGACCACAATTTGATTGTGGTCCCAGATTCTTGACAGAGGCAAGCTGGATAGAGCCTTGTCCATATGCAGTATCATATTTTCTGTCCAAAGGGAAGAAGGGAGGGCTAGTGATTTTGTAAAGATCTGAGCCGTGCTAAAATAATTTCCCTACTTCTAGAGTCCTGGACTAGGACGCCGGGGTTGGTGGGAAGCCATCCTTGCCCACAAAGCCCACCAGTTTCCCTTCAGAGAGTGCTCCTCTTCCTTCTTGGGGTTAACTTTTCAATACTATTGTACAGCTAGAATGCCTTAGTTGTGCCTTGACTTTCTAATTTGTTGCTTTCGCAGAATTCATTGGTGGTTGAGATACCACCTTTCCGCAATCAGAGAATTACCAGCCCTGTTCAGGTCAACTTCTATGTCTGCAACGGGAAAAGAAAGAGGAGCCAGTACCAGCTTTTCACGTATCTTCCTGCTAATGGTAACAAAACAAATTCCTTATCTCTGCTAGGAAAAGTGAGATAATGATCATACATGGTTCTAATAAGTATTTAGTAATTCAAATATTTTGGAAATATACCTGGTGCTATGAGAGTGAGAATAAATCCAGGAGAGCTGCCTTTGTCTCTGCTGCCCGCACAAGAGACAATGCAGATTGTTTCCATTTGTATCGGTGGCAGAGACCTGTTGGAACAAGGACTTCTGTTTTTGGGAGCTGAAGAGCCGCAGCACAAACTCAGACGTTTGTGACGGCACTGAGCTCTCTGCTAAGCTATGGTCAACCCTTGGTCTGACTTTCTAACCCCAGAGGGTAAATTGCATTCAAATAACATTTCTAAATTCACACCACAATATTTTAAGCATGCTGGGCTCTGAGCTGGAGGTGGTGTGTGGATTCCTCTTGCAGTCATCTCGTACCTTGCTGCCTTGCACAGGGTGAAAATTGAGATGGACAACGCGGGTAGAGATCAGAGTGCTCCATGTAAAATGCTTCATGGATGGGAAATGTTCAGAAATGTGTGACCATTTTTTTTTGAGCTTATATTGGTAGCTGTGAAGTGAAAATAAAGTCACTCATGATAGCTGAATTCCAAGCATGGAAATGGTTTTTTTTACCAAGAGCACTCTTTGGGGGAAAGTAGGAAAAGAAAGCTGTATGTTTTGTTGTTGTTGTTTGGGAAGCTAAAGGAATTAGAAAAAAATTATGAAGCTTTGCTTTTCTTTCCAAGTGAAAATAATCCTTCTGTGGGAAATACCAACAAAGCAATATTCAAGTCACATCACATGACTTGAATAGACACGCTAACTTTTTGTAGGTGAAATCCCATAAAATACACATTTGCAATTTCACCCAGTTAGCATGCATGCACTTTTATTGGGACTTAAATTAAAAATAAGAGTACAGGAAACCTGACATGGCAACAGAGTGCTTATTGCATATGTTCTGTGTAGCTATGCTTCACTGAATCAGCCTACTTATGCAAACTTCATTCCCAGTGGGGATGTCTGTACATTTAAAAACTCTTCATCTCTTAAATTGGAAAGAAAAAGAGTTGTTATTCTCTTCCACAACACTTTTCAGCAACAAAAATCAGTTGTAGAGGCAATCAGGTATTGCCTTGTCACCGAAGTTACCCTCATAAATATTTCAGATTCAAGCCTCTTCTTAGCTGCTGTTGATTAGGCAGCATCTTCCCTCCAGCCTTTACATAGGCCTTTTTTTACCATTGTATTCTAAACCCTGGGAATAGTGTGCACTCCTGCAGAATTGGCTTATGCTATCACTATTCTGTGTTTGGAACATTGATGCGAAGAGATGGGAATACATACTAGTGACAGCAGACTTAGTGACAACAGGGAACCAGCCTAGGCTTTATTCTGCAAAGGCATCTTTAATTATGGTAATTGTTGAAAACATTAGGCATCTTGTTTAGTCTGCTGCACCAATTTAAATTCAAGTGAAATCTTTTCATTTCAGTGTTTCAGAGGAAACCTGAAAGAAAAAATGTAACACCAGGATAGGGTAAAGGAAAACAGGTATTCCAAGTAAATATTCTTTCCATTCCTATTTGGTTCTCCATTCACATTCTCTTAATACATGTGTATATGTGCATGTAGGTAATTGAAAAACATGTTGCATTCTTTGCAGCCTCACCCATAGCAGTGGTAAAAGTGAATGTGCTTCTGCAATCATCGGAATTAATAGTATAGTATGTTTTTAATAAGCATGTGTTTTAATGCCTGTGTTACAGCTGTGAGGTTTTGCCCTTTTGTGGCTGGTATTTTTTTCCATCATGCCTTTCAAAGATAGATACAATCACCTTTGCTGTGTATTTAGAAACCACGTACAGTGATTAAATCAGTCATTCATGCTGCTGTATTTCTAGGAGTCATTTTAGGCTTCATTTGATTTCAGTCACAACATTCTTTTACTGCTTCAAGGCATTGTAAAAAACCAAAGTTTAGCTCATGCAGAAAAAAATTACCTGAGTCAAGAACCACTGGGTGATCAGTGTAAAAAAATGTAGATGAGATAAAGCATGACTTTGGCCCAGGTAACACTTTGTTTGCACTTTGTTTGTCGTTTAAACAAATCTCACAAATAGACAAGGTGGAGGGTTTTGACAAGCGAATGTCAGAGTGATCATGAAGTGTAAGATGTGGTTTTACACAAATGAGACAGTATCCTGTAAACTGCTTCTTAATCTTCTGTGCTTTAGGACTAATCAAATGCTGCATTTCAGTGCCTACTGTAGTTTTGCAGGTATTTCTGTGTGAAGGAGCTTTAAAAAGCTTCATGATGCACATCAGACATATATTTTACAGCTCAACTGGACTGTGCTAAAGCAAAATACCAAATATGGACTTAAGCCTAAATGTTATGTGAACCCCCTGGCTGTGCTCCTGGGGTGGGTGTGGGCACATGCAGAGCAGTGGGAGAGCCATGGGCTCGCTGTGCAGCTCCCACCCCCACTGCGGGGCAGTAGGGGGTTTTTCCTGTAGCTCCTATTTCTCCTCATTCCCTAGGGGAAAACAGCCAGTGGATCCAGGGACACGTGACCTCACTCATCCCACCTGCCATGGATGGTCCTATAGCATCTCCATGGAGTACAGCTCTGTGACATGCAGCCAACATAAGCTGCCATCTCCAGCAGTGTTATTTCGCCATCTTAGGGCTTCTCCCATGCTGCGGAGATGTGGCAGGATTGTACCTTCCCTCTGTTAGCTCAAGTATTTGGCAGAGCAGGGACTTACTTGGTGAAGATGAGTTTCTGCTTCAAAAATAAAAAAACTGCTGTAAAAATGAAAGTCTTACTGCTTTGTAAATGAAAAGTTTAAATAACAAAGCAAAACAGAAAGTAGATGCTTTGCAAAAGGAGCCAAGATCTTGAAAATGGGCTTGCTTAAGTCTTTGGCTTGGGATAGACTGTAAACCTAAGAACTCATAATCCACTTTTGATTGAAATTTTGATTTACTGTTCTGCTAAATTTGAGCAACTCCTGAATGCTTTATTAGCTTATATTTTACAGAAATGACTGTAATGTCATTTTTTTAGTGTTACTTCAATGATACGTATCACTGAGCAATTGCATATCAGTTTTGTCCTGGAGCCTGCAGGCTTGTAGGCTCTTGGAGACTCCTCCACAGACATGCCTGGCACAGAAATATAAGTAGTTTCCATACCATTCTGGCACAGGTGAATTCCTGCAGCTCATATGGTAACTACTGATGCATTTTGCATTGCCACATCCCATCAAAATTTGAGGAGAAAGGCTCTGGACCAGACACTGCAGTCAGGATTCTGAGCAGAGCCTTCGGATGTTCAGCTTTTAAAGTGCCTCCACTGCTGTGGCTCCGTGCAAGGAGCTCTGCAGCTCCATTACATGCAGCAGAACATTTTGGAAAACCACGTTTCAGGGTTAAACTAACACGGAGAGTCTGAAGAAGAACACAGGCATGTATGCTGTGATTCCAAATCCTGTGTTTTCGTCTAAGAAAGCTGAAGGACTTCTCCTGCTCAGAAGACTTTAAACAATGAATGATAAGGATTAGATTTCTGTCTGTTTAGATTTCTTTTAAGTAGGTACAAAAAATAGAGGAAATGTGGTCAAGAACTTATTTTTGCAGATAGGACCGAGTGCTCTCTATGTTTTCTGTTACTCAACAAGTATTGATATCAAGAATGTTGAACACAGGAAAGTTTTTCTTTGAATTTCATTTATAAAGTAGTGATATTTGACTAACCAAAGACAGGCTAGTTTGTCCAGGAAATATGTAATAAAAAGGAAAAAAGGAAAGTTGATGTGTTTCTTCTACTGGAATGAAAAATACGCTTTTGCAAAGAGTTGATGATAAAGTATTTCCAGTTTCTGTTTCTGTCAGGCTTCGTAATTGTCAAAGCATTATTAAAAGATCATTTCATTGCTTCTGGTATTTATTAAAATGGCGTTGATATTCTGGGTAACTTTTACTTTGAGATGCGTTTTGCTACCCACAGGGCCAGATTTCCAACTGCACAGCCTTCACTCACAGATACAGCTTTTCTGCAGCTCCTTTGCCTCCCTGCAGTCATCTGCACAAGTCTTCAAGATGTTGAGCTCCTCTGAAAACCTGCCCACAGTGACTTGGTGGAAGTCCTTTGAATCTGTGGGTGTGTAGCTGTGCTGAGAGCCTGCCTGTGGTGACTAGATGTGCCTCAGTGTTGTGATTTACAGCCCAGCGGCACAGAAGTGAAGCTCTTAACATTGTAGAATAGAATCATAGGATATCTCAAGTTGGAAGGGACCCATTAAGGATCATTAAGTCCAACTCCCCACTCCTTGCAGGACCACCCCTTGGTGTACATCTGGAAAGGATGTGTGCTGCCCATAGCATATTGTTGTCAGCATTCTCCTGACTTACTACCTCTGCTCTAAAATTATCCCCTGCCCACCATACAGATGGGTGCAGCAACACTGCTTACGGCTGCATTGAGCAGCCATGCCTCTGTTTCACCTCAGCCCTTCCGCCCACACCTCACTCCCTAAGTTCAAAGATGACATCAGCCCCTTAGCAGAAATGAGGATGCACGGTGTTGCCACTCTGATGTGACACAGCATGTGGCTTGTGCTGATTATCTCCTGACACCTCTCACCTCTCGGTGTTTGTTGAAGTTTCCTGCTTGAGGTTGGCAAAATTATTAGCCTAGTCCTTTATGCAAACGATGGTGACTTGGAGGCTGCTGGGGGAGCAGGGCCAATGCAGGGCCTGTGTTGTGCAGGGACCATAACCTGTGGCTGGTGCAATACAACCTCAGCAGTGCCTCAACAAGGGGACGGAGCGTGGCTGAGTCAGGCCTGGAGCCTCGGACCTGCTGGAGGTGTTTTCATCCCCAGAAGCATGTGGACTGCTGCAAAGCCAGCACATGGCAGGACAGGTCAACAGAGGGGACAGGTGAAAGGTTGGCCCCAGAGGACTTTTATTTTAGGTGAAAATAGGAA